CCTACTGGTAAGCCTTATATTAGGTTCAAATAAGTTTGTTTACATCTGGTATCTTATAGGTCCTACATGGTTCCTCCCAAGTCTGCAGTCAAAATGCAGAAAAAAGCCTGAATGGAGGTGAGAACTTTAGTCTGAACAAACCCACAGACTGCTGAGATCAGATAGGCAGGCTCACAGCCAACTGGAGGAACTTTCATAGCAGGTTGTCAGCCTGTAGGAGGAAATGCTGTTACTGGCAGGGTCTCCAGGTAAAAAAAATTGCCAAAAATTCACAAAAAATAATTTTCTTATGAAAACTGTGTACAGTAAATCATTATGTCATACAATCTAACATTTTAAAGGCTTACATAATTTTTAAGCCAATCTTGTTCACATTTATTTAAAAAAAAAATAAATCTGTAATTCTTTTTTGAACAATAACTAAAGTCAAAATTTACTGAGAGTAAACTTAGGGTAGATCCAAAACTTTGAGTTGCCACCAAATGATTTATGTTCAGATTTTGGAGCAGGGTTCAGAGGCATTAAAAATGTTTCAAACCGGTGTTCATAATGGAGCTTACTATCATAACATACACATATAAACTGATTTACATGTGTGTAATTCATTTCAGTGGCCAGAATAAATTAATATTCTATAAACATGCATCATTACATGCCAGAACAAACATTTTTGCCAAAAGCTAGCATAAAAATTCAGTGTAGATGGGAGTATTTTAATACACATTGAAAAGTTATGTTCTCACTTCATGCTGAGTCTATAGGGCAGGAATTAAATGGAAATCTCACTAATGAAATACAGAGGGCAAAAAAACAAATGTGTTGACCCTTGCCAACTCCAGAGTTTTCCAGCTTTTTATAGTCAAGGCACCCTATAAAATTATACACACTCTCGAGGTACCCCATTCTAAAAAGAGAAGGGCAAACAACTGCACAGTGCAGGCACCCAATGTGCTTCTTAGGGCATTGGTGGCTGGCCCGCATAATGCCCAAGGTTGTAATACTGCACAATAAAAACCTGTGGCTTTGTGTAACAAAAAAAGGTAGGCTTGATCTGCCTCCTGGGTTATTGTCAATTTTCTTGGTGGCTTGCTGGCAATTTTTTGGCAATTTGGGAAAATTGTTAGGCATTTTGCCATGGCACCCCTGAAGAACTCAGGAGGCACCCCTGTTGAAAAAGACTGCCTTACTCTATCCAAAATAAAATAAAAAGTTTTGATTTTGAATATACTTTAAATATGGCAATTACCTGTGGAAAAAAAACCCAAAAGGTTTTCACCCTTAAGCTACAAGAGCAGATGGAGCGTGTTATGAATTGCTTTTTGAGTCCATCTCATCAGAGAAATATAGAGGCAAGTTCGATGGCAAAGTTTCACCGTACAGCTGCCCATTGTCATTCTGAGAGTAGCACTGAAAGAATACTTTACTCTGATGGTCATAGATCTCTCCACATCAGGCGCTGACAATAAAAAGCATGTGAAAGTAAAAATAACACAAGGTAGGGGTCAAGTGGATGGTACAATGAGCAGCTCGATTTCACTACAATGCAAGAATAGCTGTCTAAAATGAAACATTTTCCATTTTCTCATCTCTCTCCTTGGCAGATCACTTTCTTTTTCAGCAGGGATTGGGTATTGTGCTGGAATTCTACTGTTCGCATTACTATTAAAGTGGACCTAATCCCCCAACCCAAAAAAAAACAGTGGTGCATGCATCTCCGCATGCTGATCTATAACATCTTAAAGTATAACTAAGGCATTTTTTTTTGTTAGTTTTGGTAAGAGTGGAGATGAACACTTATTAGGTTTTCTATTGCTGTGCCCTCATTAGGGAGAAGTAAAAGAAAATCCCAAAATTTGGGTTGTCCCCAAAAAGGTAATAGAGGGGAAATCTTGCAATGAAGACACTAGTTCTGGTGACCTGGGGGGCCCCAAGGGATTCTCTTAACCACTTCCATACAGGGCACTTTTACCCCCTTCCTGCCCAGGCCACTTTTCAGATTTCAGCGCTCTCACACTTTGAATGACAATTGCGCGGTCATACAACACTAACAAGTAACATTGTACTACTTTGGGGAAGTTATCAGTATTTTTTTTTACACAATTTGCTTTTAGCAAAGAATTACTTTGCTATAAGCAAGCATTTACCTGAATGAAATGGATTCATTCAGGGTTTTTTTTATTGTGCTTAGCTGTGATTTGACCACGGCTAATCACATTACTGTGATTGGCCCAGCTTGTGCATTTGATCGCTGTGACCATTCACAGCTAGACACACTTGTATACAATGGATGGCTTTCTTTCATGCCATCCATTGTATACAACTGTCATGTGACCTGCTGTGATTGGTCACAGCAGGTCACATGGTACTGGCAAGGGGGCTGGTACACAGATTTGTCATCGGCCATGTCCGAGGTACACGGCCAGTGACAGATCGTGACAGATGGCGTCCACCCGGAGGGACGAGCTATTCTTCCGGCCGCCAACTGGCTAATTTGTAGGGATTTTCCCTCACTCCCTGTTTTAGATATGGGACAGGAAGATGGCATCAGATGACCTTATTGCACTTATGTTGGTAAAGGTGCCTGTCATGTTGGCTATTACTTATGACAGCATGGGCTTCCAAGAAGCCCTTAAAGTAGAATTGAATGTAAAACTTTTTTGTAATTTTAGATAGAGAAAGGGTGGCAGTTATAACCCTTGTCAGGTTTGTGTTTGCCATCTGTGTCCCATTTGGATACTCCAGGTTTTGGTGGGCCCTCACAATCCTCACATACAATGCAGGACTATTGGTCCTTTATTGTATGTGGTGATAATGCTGAGGAGAAGAGTCTTTGGGGGACCAGTTGCACAGTGTGAGGGAAGCCTACCAAAGTGAGGAATAAGGTAGGTATTACAGCTTGTTCCTTGATGCCTGAAGTTGTCTGACATTTAATCCTTTCAATTTAGGGAGGTCCCACTGTAAAGATTTTTTGTTTTCATACCTGGAGTGGGGCTTTTCAACTTAAGTTTGGGATATTTATTTATTTTTTTTACCAAAATCAGCACAAGGGATCATACGTACGTTGAATGAAAATTGTCCATTGTGCTAATGCTGACTGTCCTAGCTGAAATATTAAGCCCTCTTTCCTTACCCCCACAGCCTTCTGGTGCTTTGCATGTTAATAGAGCCAAGGGACCTGTATCAGACACTCATCAAGAGTGCTGGCTATTCCAACCCCTCCTCTTTCCATGCCCCTTCTCCATTCACAGAAGCTGTACTATAGCTGCCATCAAAGGCGCTCTATGAATGGAGGAGGCAGAGCTTTAATTTATCCACCTGTCTTCCTTTTATAAAGTGCTTTCATTGTTGGAAGATATTTTACAGCTTTAATGAATGGAAGGGGGGTGGTGGAAAAGTCAGAAATATTATTATACAGGACTTAAATAGCGCCGACAGTTTGCTCAGCTCTTTACATTATGGAGGGAGACAGTACAGTAACAATACAGTTCAATACAAGAGGAATTAGAGGGCCCTGCTCCTTGAAGCTTACAATCTAGGCACTCTTAATAAGTGTCTATGACAGAGCCAGCCAACTGTGTTAAACCCTACATCACCTGAAGATTAATATTGTGGGAGTATGAGGGAGGGTAAAGGATGGAAGATTTCAACTAGGAACAGCTGGCATCAGCACTAGGGACTTTTACTATTAAAGGTAAGTACTGTCCCTTGTGCTGATTAAATAAAATAATAGATTTAGGCTTTAACCTTTTCTTATCAAAAACCTAAAAGTAAAAATTTGGACTTCATATACACTTTATATATCTGAACATATGCATAGAGTATATCACCAAGGCCTGTAAAATAGCTTTTGATTTAAAGCCCCAACAGTACTGTAACATTAGTAGGTTTATGAGCTCTAATTGCAATTCAAGAACAGCATATTCTACATAATATTTAACAAATGGTTAGTAAAGTCTTCACCCAAAAACATACATTCTTCCAAAGAGAATAAAAAGGCAGAAGGTGCAGTAATACTGATTGTTGGTTCATTAATAGGATTGTGACTAGTAAACTTGGTTCTGGACAGATTGTTAATAAGCCATTGTTTATAGACTAGATGAGCTGAAGCAAGACATGCAGTTACTGGTGAGTAGTGTGCATCATAAAACCTACCAGTTAAGATTATAGGATGTCCCAAGAGGGGGAATTATATGGAGAGTGTTGAATTCTATCAAGGTTAACAGTCATATGTATTCCACAGGGAAATTTCCGAAGTCTGTGGGCTCTGTAAAACTCCACTTTAGAAATTAGTATTTATGGACAGCACGGTGGTTATTAGAATGCCTGCCTTGAGTTGCTAGTATGCTGGATTTAGTTACAACCAAGGATGTCTGCATGGAGTTTGTTATCTCCCCTCTAGTTTTCGTTCACAAAGCTTCACTGCTGTGTTGAATGGAGCAGATGTTTATCCAGGCCTAAAATACACTATATTGCCAAAAGTATTGGGACATCTGCCTTTACACGCACATGAACTTTAATGGAATCCCAGTCTTAGTCCGTAGAGTTCAATATTGAGTTGGCCCACCCTTTGCAGCTATAACAGCTTCAACTCTTCTGGGAAGGCTGTCCGCGAGGTTTAGGAATGTGTCTATGGGAATGTTTGACCATTCTTCCAGAAGCGCATTTGTGAGGTCAGGCACTGATGTCGGACGAGAAGGCCTGGCTCGCAGTCTCTGCTCTAATTCATCCCAAAGGTGTTCTGTCGGGTTGAGGTCAGGCCAGTCAGGCTCCTCCACCCCAAACTCACTCATCCACATCTTTATGGACCTTGCTTTGTGCAGTCATTTTGGAACAGGAGGTGACCATCCCCAAACTGTTCCCACAAAAGTTGTCCAAAATGTCTTTGGTATGCTGATGCCTTAAGAGTTCCCTTCACTGGAACTAAGGGGCCAAGCCAAACCCCTGAAAAACAACCCCACACCATAATCCCCCCTCCACCAAACTTTACACTTGACACAATGCAGTCAGACAAGCACTGTTCTCCTGGCAACCGCCAAACCCAGGCACGTCCATTGGATTGCGAGGCAGAGAAGCATGATTTATCATTCCAGAGAACACGTCTCCTCTGCACTAGAGTCCAGTGGTGGCGTGCTTTACATCACTGCATCCGGCACGTTGCTTGCACTTGGTGATGTAAGGCTTGGATGCAGCTGCTCGGCCATGGAAACCCATTCCATGAAGCTCTCTACACACTGTTGTGCTAATCTGGAGGCTACATGACGTTTGGAGGTCTTTAGCTATTGACTCTGCAGACAGTTGGTGACTTGTGCACACTGTGAGCTTCAGCATGCACTGACCCCGCTCTGTCATTTTACGTGGCCTACCACATGGCTAAGTTGCTGTTATTCCCAGTTGCTTCCACTTAGTTCACGGTCAACTGTTAGTGGTATTGTAACAATTTAGTAGCAAGGAAATTTCAAGGATGGACTTATTGCACAGGTGGCAACCTATCACGGTACCATGTTTGAATTCACTGCGCTCATGAGAGTGACCCATTTTTTTCACAAATGTAGAAGCAGTCTGCTTGCCTAGGTGCTTGATTGTGTACATCTGTGGCCATGGAGGTGAATGGAACGCCTGAACGCAATGATTTGGAGGGGTATAATACTTTTGGCAATATAGTGTATATCTGGTGCAGGAGTTGAAAATTGCATTTAAGTGGACACACAGTAAGGTGAAGATATAGCAATACAATTGTAAGATAAAGTAGATCTCTGGGCAGGACCCCCCTTCTACTTAATCCCCCCTCACCTTATTGGTAAAAAAAACCGAAAGTTTCCTTGGTTAGAGGTGGGTCAACCATTATCATCTGACTTGCTTCAACTTCATTGACACTAATATTGTGAAGATTGAGGAAGCCCAATATCGTACATTCACCAGCTCATGTACATTACCATGCCCAAAACTCACCCTGCATTCTTCTCAACTGAGCCATGTACCAGTTCAAAAGGTAGGGCACTGATAGCAAGAAGAGGCAAGTCCAATACATTTTCAAAGCTTTGATTTCACAGTTTCAAGGCAGACAACTTCAGTTGTATACAGCTTCTCACCAGTTCTGTGTAGTAGTAGTTGAGACTTTCTCAGTTCAGCATTCTATGTCCTGTCTCCAGCTTCCTTCTATCCAGGGCACCAGAACCTCTCAAAGCACTCCCCAGCCAGGGAATACCAATCACTGGAAATTCTACATCCCTGCAGAAAGGACCCCACCAAATCCCATGGGGGCCAGCTACTGAGTCTTACTTCTGTCCTCCTGACTCTGTCCAAACTCCTTATACTATCTAATGCATCCTTTCTCAACCTTTGTAACATGGAGGAACCCTTGAAATTAATAATAATTAATATATTTACAGCTCACAGTACATTAGTGTGATGGTCAGTAGAAAGAATGCTTTTCAATTTTTCGTTCATTGGAAAGAATTCCCCCCTTACAGATAGCTAAAAAGATCATTGGTGTCAGTGGTTACTCATCTGAGAGGCAGAAATTGTTTATTGCTGAAGGAACCCTCAGCAACCTTTGAAGGAACCCTGGATGAGAAATCCCTGCTCTAAAGTATTCCACTATTTATATAGAGAGGATTTTACCACCTAGTGGCCAAACTGGGAATTGTACTGACACATCTTTACAGACTGTTACAACAGAGGTTTGTTCAGAAAAAAAAGCCAATACCCTATGAGTTGATGTAGCAAAAAATAAATCATAGTCCATTTTTCATGGTTTCACTTGGATGGAACTAATGACTTGAAGATAATTATATAGATCACAGAGAATACTCAAGTTATGCAGCCCCCCTTTCCCCCAAAATATGTTTTTATTTTTCAGTTCAAGTTCAAGTTTTAATGTAATAGCATTTGACTTACTGCTTTTAAAGTGGTCTTACCATCAGATACAATTTTTTATACAAAGTTCAGGCGTGGTAAGTAATGTGCCTGAAAAACCATAATTTACTACAGGTATTTATTACTCAGAGCTCTACCTGACATTGCATTTATCTGCTTTGCTCTCCAGTTGGACAAGTACATCTTTGTTCGGGCATCATCCAAGGTCAGTAACTACTTCCTGCTTTGAGATACTGACTCAGAAATGACACAGTCATGTAACCTGTGTAGTGTTGTCTAGGCTGTGATCACAAACATCTGACACAGATCAGCCCCCTGCTACAGACTCTCACCCTACGAGGTTGCAAGCTTGCAGTCTGATCACTGGGGAAGAGGGGACTGAGTAAATGCTTCTTTCCACCTGCAGCAGATTGATGAAATCATTTCAGCCAAGGCAAGTCACTGACTAGAGATAAAGTATCACTTTTCAATTTTAAAAGGTAGAGCTTTTCAGAAAAATTATATTGTTGCTGCATATTGTGACATCAGAAATTTAAAGTGACCCAAAAAATTATTCTGTTCATGTATATATTCCTAAATCAAAAAAGTACCTTCTATTGCTCTCATTCTCTCAAAATTTTTGCTGCTGTGATCTGACTTCCTGTTAGGGTGTGGCTATGTTTGTTCCCCATGGTCATCCTCTCTTGCTGGCTTCCAAGATGAATATCGACTATCAACTGTGGGATATGTAATATGCATAGAGCAGTGCACATGGCACAACTAACTGCTCATTCCAAACAAATGGAAGTGAGGGGGAAAATGACTGGTTTGTGAACCTGGAGGACATTACAAGGAGATATGAAAGCGCAGTAACAAATAATTTCATGAAATATAGATTACAGGGCCACTAAGTAACTGATGTGTATGAATTCTTTTTGGAGAATAAGGATATTCTTTAGCATCACTTTAGTTATACACACTTGTAAAGTTACTAAAGGGTCCACTTTTTAACCTATTGCTTTCACTATACCATTAAATTATTATTTGTTTACTGCTGCTCAAGGTAGAGAGACTCCCAATCTCCAAGCACAACTCCTCCTGTAGGTGCTAGCCAAGCTCGTGTGCTGCATATATGAGAACAAAGGAAGTCTGATCGGCTGCACTACAGACAATCCACTTTCTTGAACCAGGATAAAACCAATACAGACAGTGGAAATACAGTGGGAGACTGGCAGGTAAATGCATTTCACAATAAAAACAGTGCTTATTCATTAACGGATTTTGGATAGATTGAGTTTGAGGACGTGGTGTGACATCCAGGCTGATATGTCCATTAGTAGATTAGTGATGGATGTGGAGACTGATGGAGTGCGCTGTGGGGTACAGAGATACATTTGTGTAAAGTCAGCCTAGAAATGGCATTGGAAGCCATGGGAGGCTATCAACTGACCCAGGGAGGAGGTGTAGATCGAGAATAGGATAGGTCCAAGAACAGAACCATGGGGGACCTCGATGGAGAAAGCAAGAGGAGAGGAGGAAGTGAGATTGTAATTGACGCTGAAGGTATCGTGAGATAGGTAGGAAGAGAACTAGTGAAGAGTTCACTCATGGTGACCAATCGAGTGGAGTTTTTTGAGGAGGATAGGGTGATCCACTTGTCAAAGGCAGCAGAGAGGTCCAGGAGTAGGATTACAGAATAGTTTCCATTGGTTTTGTGAGTTTCAGTAAGATGGTCGCACAGCTGGCTGTAGAGTAGCAGCTCAAGGAGTTTGGAGAAAAGGGGAGCAAAGAGATTGGGCATAGGTTGTTAAGGTTGGTGGGGTCCAGTGAGAGTTTTATGAGTATGGGGGTAACTAGTGAATGTTTTAGAAAGTTGGGCAAGATGCCAGAAGAGAGGGAGAGATGGAAGATGTGATTTAGAGATTGTAGGATAGAGCCAGAAGATGATAGTAGCATTTGCAAGGGAACAGAGTTCAGGGGGCAAGTGGTTAAATGGGCTGTGACAGACGCAACTGGGACAGGGGCTTTTGGGGTGGACTAGGGGCTAGCCTTCTACCCACTGATTATGGCCCATGGAGAGAGCAGATCATTCTCTAATGATGGACAACAATTTGATGAACACTGAGAGAGAGGCTTGGATTAATTCTCTGAATAAAGACAATAAAGCTTCCCTTCTGGAGTGTATGGAAAAGTGTAATATTAACATATATGCAGGTTAATTGTCAGAGGAAATATGGGGCCCTCCTGCAGACTTGGTTGGAGAAGCTCCTCCACTTGGGACAGGAATATTTATCAACAATCTCCCTCAAGAAATCTATGAAGATAAATTAATTCCACTTTTTATCTTATGATTAATTTTCTAGTGGATAGATTGTACAAGTGAAAGGCAAACACCTGAAATACTTCATGTGATAGGCTCATTGTCGGACTATCTAGGGTGGGTTCCTGGCTGGCCTGGGTGCCTGGCTGTTGATTAGCTTACTGCTAATTAGATCACTAATAAGATTATTGATTGATTAGATCACTGTTAGATGTTAGCTGTTCATTAGATGTACTGATGATATTACTGTTTACAGTTTGAATTGTTTAAGATAATGTGATCAAGCTCTTACCTGATTCGGTGTCGTATAAATTCTGTGTGAGTTGACAGTAAAGAGAGTTCCAGCTGTACCTAAGCTAGTGTCATTTAGTTCTTGGGTGCAATGTCCAGCAATAATACCTTGTTCCTGTGTCCCAGCGGTGAGGAAGAAGTTCTCTGGTTGAAGCGCCCAGGCGGGGTCGCAGGCAGTCCGTCACATGGGTATTAGAGAAAAAATTAGCAACCTTATCTACAGTAGTTGGTTGAATGATGAAAGTAATGAGTGTACCTGTATACATGGAGTGATAAGTGGGGGAGATGTCGGTACAGTGGAGATCTCATCACAACTTGTATCAAGATTTTTTTTTTAGGTGATTGATGATCTCCTGGACAGTGATTGAGGTAGTGGGTGGAGGCAGTGGAGGACGAAGTACTGTAGATAGGTGAAGAAGATAGAGAAGTGAGAGTGATAAAATAGGTCTGCTTGGCAGTGTGGAGGCAGAAGTAGTATTTTTGAAGGGCAGATCTATACTGGTTGAAATATTTCTGAGACCTAGTCTTGTGTCATAGGTGCTCAAGAGCACAGACACATTTTTTCAGACTGTTATCTGTTTGCCAAGGTTGTGGGGGTCAAGACCTGATTCTGTGTGCAGTGAGCAAAACAATTGACGGATGATAGTGAACTATTATAGACAGAAGTGGGTAGGTTGGGGCAGGACAGGGGTGAGATTTCGTCATAGTGTTGGTCAGTAGCAGAGTAGAGAAGAGAAGGGTTAAGATGGTGGAGGTTTCTGTGAGTAGCCATTAGGCAATTGGAGGGAGAGGAGGTAGAAGACAGGGAGCGAGCAAAGCTAATCAGGTAATGATCAGAGAGAGGAAAAGGATTGTTGGTGAGGTTGCACAGAGTGCTTAGGCAGCGGT